AAACAGCTTGCCATTATGCTAACTGCTGGTCCCCAGGGCCAGCTCTTGATGTAGTGGTTAAGGTAGCTGAATCCCAAATGGCTGACTGCACAGTTTGAATCCTGGAACTGGTTGCTTGAAAACCACACCGGGTACATGTATAAGCCATATCCAAAATCCCAAAAGGAGGGAGAAAAGGAGAAGGAATTGTAGCATGACCATCCACCATGGGGAGGGGGTCCTTTCTCACTTTTCCCATATATCTCTGATGGAAGTGGGTATACATTCTAGCAAGTTAAAAAAGAGAGGGGGCTAACAGATGACATAGTGGTTAAGGCATTGTATTCCCACATGGCCAACTATGGTTTCAGTCCCAACTAGTGGCTTGAAATTCATGCCAGGTGTGTGTGCATGCATGCCCAAAATCCCAAGAGGAGAACGGAGGAGAAGGGAGCAATATACTCTTGGAACCTGAAGGGGTTTTTTTTCACCTAGAATGGAGGTCAAATAGGTGTATTATTTTGACTTTAGCTTTTATAAAAATAGCATGATGGTATAGCAGGTGGCATGGTGGTGTTAAGGCACTGCACTCCCAAATGGCCAACCACAATGTTTGAGTCCCAGATCCAGCCTCTTGAACACACTGGGCATGTGTGCATGAGTGCCCAAAATCTCAAGAGGAGAGTGGAGGAGGAGGGATTGTGTCATGGCCATCCTCCCTGGGGAATAGTTTCTCTCTTTCTGTCTCTCTGTCTCTTTCTCTGTCTGTCTGGCGAGCACACGCGCCCTATAGCAAAAACCTCTTCAAAAAAAATAAAGATTAACTTTAAAAAAAGAAAAGAATAGAGAGAGACTCCAAATCATTTTTAAGCAAGGGGATATCTGGATCATATTTTGTTTTAAAATACCAACTCTGAGGCCAGCCAATGTCATGGTGGTCAAGGCAGCTGAATCCTACAGGGCCCACTGCTATTCTAGTCTCAGTCCTCTGAATCTACACTGTTTTTTCTCTCTGGAAGTTTTTAGAATCTTCTCTTTATTCTTCTTTTTTTTTTCTTTTTTTTTTCTTTTTTTTTTCTTTTTTTTTTTTTTTTTTTTTTTTTTTTGAGAGGTTTTTGGTATTGTGCACTCACCAGAAAGATAGAGACAGAAAGACAGAAAGCGAGAAATCACCCCCTGGGGGGATGGCCACACCACAATCCCTTCTCCTCCATTCTCCTCTCGGGATCTTGGGCACACATGCACACAGGCCTGGCATGAGTTTAAGCCACTGGGTCCGGGACTCGAACCACGGTCAACTACATGGGAATCCAGCGACATAGCCATTATGCCATCTGCTGGTCCTGAGAATCTTCTCGTTATTCTTTGTGTTCCAAATGATACTAGTGAGACAGGAATTAGACCCAATTTCTAGGTAAATAGAGCATAGACCCCCAAGAAAATATCACTATGATAGGAAATGGACACACACATATGTTAGGATACAGACAACTTTTAAAACGGAGTCACTCTGATCAAGCTTTTGAGAAGGGACATTCCCTGTTCTCACTAGAAATCAAGTATTAGTTCTGCCTACCTGCTCACACAGAGAACTGCTTACAAACAGAGCTGTTTTACAGTTTGCTTGATTAATCACAGCCTATCAGGAAACGTAAACAGACCCCTTTGAAAATTCCTTCCTCCCAGCCTTCTCACTCCTTCCTCCCAGCCTTCCCGCTCCTTCCTCCCAGCCTTCCCACCTGGCTCATGGCACCAGGAAGGTTATTATCTTCCTTCCTGCCACCCCAGATATACACACAAAATTCACCACTGGGGTGGGACACTAAGTCAACATCCAGGCAGTCCCTCCACATAATGCATGCTCATTTCTTCAAAGACCACATTGGGCATGTGTGATAAGATAGTTAAATTCCTCACCTAAGAGAGCTGCATTGGCGCAGGAAAAAAGACCATGAAACCAAACAAAGAGGCCAGGAACGGCTGGCAGACCATCTCTTACTAAATATTCATTGCCAACTTCAAGATAAAAGTAACATCTATCATGCCCAAAGCATTTGTCCTTCTCTGGCAGCTGCTCACCCACATGCCTGGTAGGCATGGGGGTGTATTTTCTTTCCTATTAGAAATCTTCACTTTTCCATCAAAACTTTTCTTTTCCTACTTTACCAGTGTTTGTGATTTTTCATTCTGCGTCTCAGGACAGGTCTCTAATCTTAGAGACCTGGACCTAAAGAACTGAGGGTTTCACACAATACAAAGTTCCCATCCTATAGCAGCACTGCCCTCAGGCAACTCACTCCCTGCAGGCTCCCTTTGAGCACCACTAAAGCTTGACAATGAGCTGGCATTTTTCCTCAGTTTGATAGCCAGTCCTTCTGGGATCCATCCACTTAACTACTACCATGAGCTGGCCCTTGAAAAAGTAGTCTACTGATAATAAAGGTGAAAGCAGTCAACTATATTTTGATGCTTCTCACAAGTTTCTAAGGACAATTAAGAAAAGCACTCTGGGGTCAGCCGGGTGGCATGGTGGTTAAGGTGGCTGGATCCCACATGGTCCAATGCCCAGTTCAAGTCCTAGACCCTGCAGCTTGGAAAATATGCTGGACATGTGGGTTTGTGTGCCCAAAATTCCAGTAGGAGAATGGAGAAAAAGGAATTGCTGCATGGCCATTCCCTCTGGGGGGTGGTTTCTCACTCTCCTCTTGGTCTCTCTCTGTTGAGCATTTGTGTTTGCACCCTAGAGCAAAACAGAAAGATGATAGAAAGAAAGGCACTCTATTATTTTGGAATCCGACAATTAGTCCAATAAGATGTTATTAAGAATCTCCTCTTCTAAATTGAATGGCTCTTGATACAAGCACTGTCAACTTTTGCCGTTAGGGGTACCCACCACAAATATACTGCTTTTGAAATCAAGCCACTTCTCAGTTTTACAACCCACAGCATGATGGGGGAGGTTCTTCAGCTAGTGGAATCTGAAAGTTGAGCAAGTGTAGAGCCGCATACCAAGTGCTGAAAGGTTAGGGAGTGAACAAAAGTGGAATGAATGGGTATTTTAAAGGCCCATTGTTCCTATTCAAATGTGAATTTAAAGGGAAGGAGGCCTGGGCCTTGAGACCATTTTCAGTTCTATTACTTGAATAACATCTTTGTTCTTCAAGAGCAACAACTAAAACCTGCAAAGTCCTTTTTTTCTGAAGCTTCAGAACAGACCAGCTCTGCCTTAATTTTCTTCAAAAAAGGATCTGAATTAAAATATGAATATACTAGTGTTTTAAAATAAATGTTTTAAAACACCTATGTCTTAGATTTGAAGTAATTATTTCATCATATATTAACTTTGTACTTTATTGTCTAGACTTTATACTTTATTGCATTACATTGAGCAAATCATCTCATCTTTCTAACCTTCAGTTTATTCCTATGCAAAATAGAAATAAAATCCCTCCTTGTCAGGGATAATACCTGGGAAAATAGTGAGGAGTGACTGAGAAAGTGTTTGTGAGGATGCCTAAAAGTGAAGGGGCATTCAATAAATGTTTAATGTTGGGCCGGCACACACATGGTCTAGTATTTAAGGGAGCTGGATCCCACATGGGACACCATGTGTTTGAATCCTGTCCCCAGTAGTTGAGAAACACACCAGGCATGTGTGCCCAAACTGGAGAAGGGATTGCAGTGTGACCAAACCCCATCAGAGAGGGCATTCTCCCTTTCCCTGTCTCTCTGGTGAACTCATGCATCCTCTGGCAAAACACACACACACACACACACACACACACACGACCACTTTCTATATGAATATATTATTCTTCAATAGAAAACACAGGGGTGGGACAAGCAGGTGGCATGGTAGTTAAAGCACTGGACATACCCACATGGCCAACGACGGTTCAAGTCCTGGACCTGGTGGCTTACTAACTCACTTTCTCTCCCTTTATCTCTCTCTCTCTCTGTGTGTGTGTATGTGTGTGTGTATGTGTGTGTCTGGTCAAATTAAAATAAATGAATGAAGAAATAAAATAAAAATTAAATAATTATAAAAAAAGAAAATGTAGGGGCGTTAATGTTCAACGTTGAAGAAGATGAATACGTGTGCATCCTCGATTTGATTATTATATACTGTATGCTTGCCTTAAAAAACGATATGGTAGGGACCAGCAGTTAGCATAAGGACTATGTCGCTGGACTCCCACGTAGTAGACTGCATTTCGAGTCCCAGACCCGGCAGCTTAAACTCACGCCGGGCACGTGTGCATGCATGCCCAAGATCTTGAGAGGAGAATGGAGGAGAAGGGATTGTGGCGTGGCCATCCCCCCTGGGGGGTGATTTCTTGCTTTCTGTCTCTCTGTCTCTCTCTGTCTATCTGGCGAGCGCACGCACCCTATAGCAAAAACCTCTCAAAAAAAAAAAAAAAAAAACACACATATGGTAGCCCACAAAGATATATACATCAATTATACATGAACCAGAAATCATAATTTAAAACAATAATAATAGGGGCCAGCATATGGCATAGTGGTTAAGGGTGCTGGATTCCCACATGGTCACCTGAGGTTCAAGTCCCGGACCTGGTGGCTTGCTTTCTTACTTCTCCTTTCTCGCTGGCTCTCTCTCTCTCTCTCATTCTGTCCCTCTCTGATCAAATTAAAATAAATAAAGTTAAATAAAATATTTTAAAAAAACAATAATAATGGGAACCAGCAGTTAGCGTAATGGCTATGTCGCTGGACTCCCACGTAGTCGACCGCGGTTCGCGTCCCGGACCCGGTGGCTTAAAACACGCCGGGCGCGTGTGCGTGCGTGCCCAAGATCCCGAGAGGAGAATGGAGGAGAAGGGATTGC